ATTTTGGGGGGTGGGGATGGGGCTTCAAAGGTGGGAGTTGGAGAGGGGGGGGCTTTGGGGGGCTAAAGAAGGGGATTTTGAGGAGGGGGGTCTGACCCTCCCTGTCTTTGTTTCTGTCTCCCCCCACACAAAGGTTATGAGAAGTCCCGGAGCCTCAACAGCATCACGGGGGTCCGCGTGGCGCCGGCTGCCCCCCCCTTCGGCTCCCCCGGCCCCCCCCGGCGACCCCGCTCCCCCATCCCCTCCATTCTATAAATGGGGAGTGGGGCAGGTGGGGGTCACCTGAACCCCCATTTTTTTCCTGCCCTTCCCCTCCCTCCCCCTCCCCATTCAGCGATGGGGATTTGGGGCAGAAAATGCATAAAAAAAGTGAAGAAGAAGAAAAAAAAATATATCAACAAATCAGTGGCAAAAAGGGGGGGGGGCTCACCCCAAAGTGGCACTATGGATCCCCCCCCCCCCTAAAATGACTGCGGTGAGGACCCTCCCCCCAAATAGGGGTGTATGGGGGGGATGTCCCCACTGATTGTGACCCGGGGGGGTCGGGGACCCCCGGCGCTGTCACCCGGACTCAGCTGCACCGCACTTTTCTGGAGCGTGACCCCCCAGCCCCCCCTTCCTGCAGCATTCGGGGTGGGGGGGGGGCAATGGAGGGGGGGGGTCCCCATCCCCTGCTGCTGTCTCTCAGGACTCGGGGAGCCCCCCCCTCCTCCAGCCCCACATATTGGATGTGTGATGTCACCCCTTCCACCCTCTTGTTGTCCCCCAGCCCCATTTTGTTGTCCTCCTGTTGTTTCCCCATGTCTCTCAGCCCCATATGTAGACCTCCATGTTTTCCTATTTCCATCCTCCCCCCCTCTCCCCATAAATTGTCATTTCCATGTTCCCCCTCCCCATTTCTTTGCCCCAAGCCCCCCATCTTCTGTGTCATTCTGTTGTTCCCCCTGGGCTCCCCCCTACAAGCAATAACCGGAGCCGCCGGGCACCCTGATGGCGGAGGACAACCCTGAAGGTATGGCTGCCGCTGGGGTGTCCCCTCTGTCACCCTGCCATGGTGGCACTGTCACCCCGTGGGGGTGGGGCAGGGGGAGCTTGGCTCCACTGCGAGGCCAGGCTGCGTTTCCATGGTGACCAGACCAGGCCTCAGCGCTACTGTTAGACCAGGCTGCGTTTCCATGGCAACCAGACCAGGCCGCAGCACTACGAAGAAGCCAGGCTGTGTTTCTATGGCGACTGGCCCTAGATTTTTGGGGGGATTTCCATGGAAACAGGACCAGGCAACAGCCACCTTTCTGTGGCATCATGGCTGGGCTGGAGGCTTTCTTTCCATGGCAACTGCAGCAGGCCTGGGCCTGTGCTCTGTGCTGCTAGGCCAGGTTGCGTTTCCATGGCGACGGGACCAGGCCGCAGCCTCACTGCTAGGTCAGGCTTTGTTTCCATGGCAATAGGACCAGGCCCGAGCCCTACTGCGAGGTCAGGCTGCGTTTCTGGGGCAACAGCACCAGGCCCAAACCCCCAAACCTGCCCTTAGCCTCCCCCCCCCGGGGGGGGCAGGACCCCCCCACTGCTGCCACCCCTCGGGGGAGCACTGGGGGGGAGCAATTTGGGGCTGGGGGGGGCTGCGGCCCCCCTGTTCCCATGCCAGCATGTCTGCATGTCTGTACCGCCAGTATTTATTGTTATATGCAAAAAAACCCCAACAACCTGACTAAACCCCCGACCCCCACCCTCTCAATTAACCCAATTAACATAATCC